GACTGGCCAATTATGACGTGTTTGCCGTCATGCACGACTGCTGGGCGTACAATCCGGATGCGAGACCGACCTTTCGTCAATTACTTGCAGTTTTTCAACACCTGGCCACAAGTATATATGAAAATGTAGAACCACCGGAGGTCGGTGCGACCAACAAAAGTCGTGCGGCTATTAAAAATGGTCTCGTCCCGTTGGTCCCGCCACCCGTCCGTCAATCCAGTTCTGAGGGAAACGATTCAAGACCGACTGGAAACGGAGCCCTCGGCCAACCCATCATGGAGTTGACCTCAACGAACGGTAGTTGAAGTCTACTCATTCCCTAACCGTCAGCTTCCATTACTTCGCTAATTGGCACACCTGATCGTAAACACACACGAAGAAAATTATTACGTGGTGACTGCTGCAGATTCCAAAATCCAGAGCAACTACTTCTCCTCAACATTCTTGTGTGTCTCGCGCGTCAACTATCTGTACTGGTTGTTGTCAAGTCCATATTTCGTTTTTCTGACACTCAACTTGATTGCATTAGACGACACACTTTCAAGACACCAGTATCCTCGACCTTGCGGAGCTCGGGGACGCGAGAATTACTCGAATGCGAAGAAAATAGATGGGAGTAAATTTGTAAGACGATGCGTAAAACCGTTATTAGATTCTCCCCTCGGCCCTTTCGCATGCACGTGCAGACAATCAACTATTGTTTCCATGTGTCAATCCTCAGTTGAGTGCATTTCAGTTTTTTCTCTTTTATTTTCCTTTTGTCTTACTGCTTCTTCCAACATGGTCAACACAGTCACGCTTCAATCACTGTGAATTTCAATCGACATTTCAATCCATTTGTCAATCAGTGTTTGTATGCATTTGTCCACTGTGCATTCTTTCTGTTTTTGTCCTACAGCCCCTTGTCTATTCATTCTCTGATATTTTCATCTCTCGCGCTCATACACATCGTTGTTCTCATCCATTATTCTTAACTTGCCTTTCTTCTTTGGTCAGTATTTGTTACCTAGCTGGTTTGTCTGGTTTGATAAGACAAATCACTTCTCTTCACTCCTACTCTCATGGTTATCTTATTCCAGTGACGACTGTCCTAAGTTATTTTTATTTTGGATCCCCCACCCCACTTCGATCGATTTTTCTTGTTCCCAGGTCATTGTTTGTTTGTTTCTCTATATTTGTTCCGAACACTTTCTTACTATCTTGAATTTCGTTCATGCACCAGAAATATGCTGGGCTACACTTAAGGCCCCACGTCATCTAAGGCAGTTTTTGA